ATGGCTTTAGAACATCAAAATTTAGAACATTTACTTTGTCAACGTATATTTAGAACATCTACTTTGTCAACGTATATTTAGAACATCTACTTTGTCAACGTATATTTAGAACATCTACTTTGTCCACGTATATTTAGAACATTTACTTTTTCAACGTATATTTAGAACATCTACTTTGTCAACGTATCTTTGCAGTAGGCAGATACTTACAATTGATTCTGTTTAATGGGGCAGCTTGTGATGAACGATGAACACATAATTATTTTAAGCAAACACACTGAGCGTTTCTTCATTATTTCGTGGTTGAAAGGGTACAGGTTAAGTTGGTAACGTACATTAAAGTTGGTGTCTGTTAGCAAAGAAAACGTTCAACAAAGCCATACAAACTTTTTTATCATTCACCTCTGGATCTTTTATGCTGTATTATCTGGCGAATAACCATTCCTGATGGCATTTGATTCATTTCCTCCTGCTGCAGTACCTTTTTTTTAAATCTTGCTTGACAGCAGTTGCTGAATCAAAAAATAACTTTCATTTACATGCTTTGTTTTATGAACACGTCCTATGTTTTATGAATACGGGGTAAACAAGAATTTATGAACACGAGTTATACGAGGTATACGAGGTATACGTTTTATGAATACGAGGTATACGAGAATTGTTTTATGAATACGAGGTATACGAGAATACAATTACATACTTTGTTTTATGAATTACATTCTTTGTTTTATCAATACGAGGTAAAGAAAACTCGCAATAATTCTGGGAAACTCTCTATTTCATCATCTGCTTGTAGTTATTTGGCGTCTAATCAACCTTTTAGAAACATGAATAATAACCTCTTAAATGTTTTGAAAACATCCAAAGTCACTTTATCTAAAAACATATATGTTACAACAGCGCGGCCGACCTAAAAGTAAAAAAAAAAAGAGTAATGAAATTGCAAAAAAAAAATTAAAAATCGAAACTGCTTCTATTTTGTTGTCGCGATTTAAAATTTTCATATAGACTTCAAGATTTCATTTAAGATACATATGATGATTAGACTCCTATATATATATATATTCAAATCGATAGGAATTGATAGGAATCTAATCGTCATATGTATCTTAATAACTTTATCTTTAATCTATATCTCTATCTCTAATCTTATCTCTAATACACACTACATCTCTATCTAATCTTTATCTCTAATACACTTTATGTGAATGCACTTCTTTAAAAACCTATTAGCACTTGAGTTTCAATAAATTAAATATAAATAAATCAAAATATTTAATTTCCGCCTACCTCGTGAAAAAGTGAAATGGCGCTAATGAAATTGAGGCCACTGAAGTATAATAACATACAAGGTTAATAAAGTCCGTAATTTAAGGTTACGGAATTTCTCTTTATCATAAATGCAGACAAAATCCTATAAAATGCTGCAACTATTTGAAAAATGGTATAAGTCCGCATTGGCTCATCGGCAGAAGCCGTAGAGCAAACTTATAAAGCGGAGTGTTTTTTTGTTATTGCAGATACTGCAGCACAGTCCTTAGAAAGAAGGTATGAACAGCTCGCTAATTAAGTTTTAAAAGTGTAAAAACCTAAAAATGATCGTAAGTAAGAAAGAACAGAACGCTTGTAAAAATGAATTTTAACTTGATGTTTTTTGTGAAACTTTAGAACTTTACTGACTAAATTAATTTAAATGAGTTTTTGAATCAAAAGTCTTTTTTGTCTATAAAAACCCCCGTTTTCAACAAAATAACTAAAAAATTTTTTTTAGTTTAAGGTTGATTTAGGAACTTTATTTTATTTTTTTAGTTATTAAGTTGCTCTAAAAAGTCATAATGCACATGTCACAGAACAACGCCACAAGGAAAATAACATCAATTAAAGGGGAACACTCCTTAATTAAAAAAGTTGTTATATGTTATAACATAAAATAACCTTCCTAACATAAAATGTTAGGAAGATTTATCACAAATAATAGCACCCTGTTGCCAAAGCAACCTGGTAGATAAGAGGGAAAAAAGTGAAATTAGTCACCTGACTCCGACAAAGATTAGAGTTGATTGGAATGATATTTTAATCTGATTTTTTCCAAGCTTATAGAACATTGATAGATCTATGCAATAACAAGCAGTTTTCTCTAACAACATTTCTACCAGGAGTTAGCTATGTTTGATTTTAAAAATCATTTGTGGCTCAAAAATGATAAACGTTTTATAATATTTGTTCTATTTGAAAAATATTTTGAAAAAAATTTGTCTGGTCATTGCATACATTTTTATTAGAGGAACACTTCCGGAAAATTTCATATAAATCGGTCAAGCGGTTTTAATAATATTTTTTCCGGGAGATTAATTTAAAAATTTTAAAAATTTTATAAAAGTTGCTATAACTTTAAAAATACCATATAAAAAATATATTGTTAATAGTATTTTAAAATGGACCATCCTAAACTTTTCCATTTCGGACGCCTCTGACTAAAATTTTTCTATTTACATTTTAAAAACTTAAAATAAAAAAAAATTAAAAAAGCAAAATTTGTTCACTAGAGCTTTTTTTCCTGTTCATTATTACATTCAAATCTTAATACAAACATATAGTAAGAAAGTAAAAAAATTTACAATTATAGATTATGTTTCATTGTTAGCAGTTTATCTACGTGCGCATCTAAACATTTTTAAGTGTAAATATGCTTATATTTATATATGTAAATATTTAAGTTTTTTAATTCTAATTAAGCTTATATTAGAGTAATAAATTTACTATATTGATTATTATATATTAGACCATGGACAAATAGCTTACATTTTAGTTTACAATATTGTACGCAATGTCACAACTTTACATTAAAATATAAAAAAAAGATATCTTTTTTAATAAACCGTAGGCTAGAGGTCTGTGGTTTAATATATAATAATCAAAATTTTAATTTGAATGCTGTTTTATGTTTATACTTATGTCATAAGTACAAACATAAAACAGCATTCAAAATCATCTTTATTTAACATAAGTTATGTTAAATAAAGATGATTTGCAAAAATTTGCAATATTTCGAGCCTGGGAACTAAAAAAAAAAACCCTTAAAAATGGAGTTTGCTCCATGACTGAAAGTTAGCTATCTCAAACACCAAGTAAATATTGCATCCCTCCGCTTGCTATTGTTTTGGGTTTGATAATATACTTTCGGAATTATTAGGAGAACTGTTTGCTCAAGCTAAAATTCATAGAAGCAATTGTAACATGCAAAGGTGATCTGCAACCGTTTCATCGTTAAAGGTATGCTGCTTGAGAGTAAAACTTATGAAAAATAAATCAAGTGAGCATTTATATTTTATCTTTGAATTTCTGTATTCAATTTTACTTTTATGATAAAAAAAACATAGATTTCTCCAAAATCAATTTGTAAAAATCAATAGCTGTAATAAAAGTTGTAACTCAAAAATTCTAAAATCTTACAATTTTTAAATCAAATAAATATAGTTTTATACATAAATTAAATGCAATATTATGCTTTCAAATATATATATATATATATATATATATATATATATATATATATATATATATATATATATATATATATATATATATATATATATATATATATATATATATATATATATATATATATATATATATATATATATATATATATATATATATATATATATATATATATATATATATATATATAATATATATATATATATATATATATATATATATATATATATATATATATATATATATATATATATATATATATATATATATATATATATATATATATATATATATATATATCAGTGACGGATCCAGGAATTTTTGGTGGTGGTGAAAAGTAGAAATTAAATTCTTATTATTTTCCTTATTTTTTTAAACTTAAGAATTTTTGAACTTTTATTTACAATTAATTTGTTAACGTATTTATTTTTTAAATCTATTTTAGATTAAACTTTGATTTTGCAAAGATTCAAAAGATGGTCATTACAAACTTATTCCCGGCCATTAAGTTTTACGAATCGGTATGGCCGAATAAAAAACCGTTACACCGCCTAGAAAGGCAACCCTGATTAGCACCCTTATTTATCAAAATTTCCCTATATTTGCATTCTATATTTTTTATTTTTAGGTACCTTTTTCATTTGGCGCCCTTGGAATATCTGCTGCCCGGGACAAACTGTTCCTTTCCTGCGAATGGAACTAAAAAGTTCTAAAACTTTTTAACAAAGATACTTTCTAAGAAAGTGACAATATTGCTAAATTTAAATTAAAAAAAAAAAAAAAGAAATTTGTTGTCGCTGTTTTAAAAAATAAATTCTTCATAAATATTTATTTTTGTAAATGTAATTTTTTTAACAGCTAAACAATCAATAGATTTTGAAAACATTATTAGAATTATTATTAGAATAAACCACTAAGTTAAAGTTTATAACTGTTATTAAACAAGAAAAATCATCAAAACGTTTTTTCTCATTTTTGTTTTCAGGGTCGGAATATTTGCCATAGTATATACAAATTTAGTGTAGTTTTCAAATTCACATAAAATAACTTTGCGTTGATCATATGTAACAAACTAAGGTTCCAAATATAAAAGTTGGATAAAATTTTCATTTTTAAAAATTTGGAAAGCCGCTAACCCAATATTTAAGGCAAGAAACTTTTTTGAAAAATGACCAGGATTTGGTGGTGGCCATATGTAGGTAGTTTTACCCAAAGTAAAATGTCACTTACTGGTTTCGTGAGTAATAACATCATTTCAATAGTTTTATCGATAAGAAATTGAACATCCCACTTTTTTTTTTTTTTATAAAACTTTATAGAAAAAAATATAAAAGGTTTATTTAAATATTTATACAACTGAATAAAACATTAGCATCCATTTCTAGAATGTGTGGTACACCTTCCCTAAAACTTTTTATTAATAACAATAAATAGATATCTATAAGTTTATATTAGTTAAATATCAAATAAATATATTGAATAAAAAATTTTTTCTCCCGATAGTTATACCGTCGTCAAAAGATATTTTACAAATAAGATTAATAAATAATAAACTTAAATACACTCTCTTTAAAGTTATAAATGTTTTACACGTCTTTGATAAAATAAACAGCAAAATTTTAATTTAAAAATTATGAAAAGAAAAGTCACGAATCACTTTATATTCATTACAGCACAGGGTTGCGGTGCTAAAAATAGAATTTCACAAGGGGATTGATGTGCGGATTAAATCATTTTGTGGCGTCAACAAACTAATTCATGAAGTCTTATAAATTCTTAAAAAAACAATATTTTTATTTCTAGCAAATTTTAAAAATAAAAGTATGAAATATTACTAATCTAATAAACGGGTATATGCTGAGAACAATGATGATTACGATTTAAATACTTTGTTAAAGTGGAAAGACACATTAAACAGGGTTGAGTTGTTCCAGTTTATTTTGTCGTGGGATTAAAAATCAAAGAACTTGTTTTGAAAGGAAAAGTAAAGTACAAAATACCTAACCAGTGATTACTTTAAAAGTAATCGCAGTAATTCTTTTAAAGTAATTGCAATAATTACTTTTTAGACTTACTTACAATTGCTATAAACTTTGATAATAGTTCCTATTTATAATGATTTATTTGTCATTTAGTTATCCATTTAATAAAATGATAATTATTTTAAATATGGTTTTTTAAATTAATTTTAAATTAGTTTTTCTAAATTAAACCAACTTTTATTGTAGTTCTTTTATGTTTATCTGATAAAAAACTTGAATGTTGGTTCCATCATGTTTTTTGGTTCCATCATGTTGAATGTTAGTTCCATCATGTTTTTTTGCTCTCCAATAATGTCTTTTTGCAATTCTCCTAGCTTTTTTTCTTAAAAAAAAAGATATCTTATCTTGAGTCAAGGTACGACATACAACTTTTAAACGTTGCCAAGATGCGTAATTACAATCTAGCATTATTTTTACGGTTTTCCAGAAATTATTGTACATTTTACCATAAATAAATACATTGTATATTCCATTACTAATTTGAAGTAACCGGAGCCAATGGTTAATAACAACAACACTAAAGTCATAATAATAATAAATAACTATTTAACATCAATATATAAATAATATATATTTTTTTTAAATAAAAATTAAATGAATCATTTTTAATGCTGTTAATGTTCTAATATAGTGTGTATTAAAATAGGCTTACCTTTGTATTCCTCCTTCACCAGGAAGCCATGAAATGGTGTGTGACAAATGCAATATGTCACGTGGTAAAACAGACACAACAAACACTGTTGCCATGATAATTAACATTTTCATAACGTTTTTATTTTTATTTGGCGTTTTTAAATAACTATTTTTAAGAAACTTCATTCTCTCACAATTGTAAAGTTTCATATACATTATTGCTGTAGTCGTAATAAAAAGAAAAAGAAAAATTAGTGATCTAGCTGTCACCATTACAATAAGTGGGTAAGCATAAAGTGGTTCATTAACGGCAACAGAATTACATGTTCCATATTTATCTATGTGAAGAGCCTTTATGTAATATGCTTCCCAAACAATTGATGTTAAAATTGTTGCAAACATAGCAGCGTGCATAGTTTTACGTCGAAAACGCTGTTTCAAAGGAAAAACAATTGACCGACATCTGTCTATTGCCATAATAAGTATAACACCAGTTGATATGTTTGTAATTATTCGACTAAATGGTGGCAATATTTTACATCCATACCATCCAAAATCCCATCTTTGGTTGCAAGTTAAAGTCCAGTATAGAAATACAAATGGACCAAATAATGAACCTAATCCGTCAAACACAGCAAGGTAAAAAATAAGTAAATCAATGATCGCTCCTCGTTTTAACTTAAACTGGAAAATGATCATTACTAAAACATTACCAACTACACCAACAACAATAACTGCAACATATCCTAAAACGAGCAAAATATCAGTAATCGGCAAATGACATTTTCCAACGGAGGTTGAGTTTGCGTTAATCAGTTTGAAATTACTCATCTGTGGTGTATGTATTAAATGGAATACCCTTATTTCTTTTGAAATTATCTTATTATTTCTTTAAAAACTTATAAGTAATAACTATACATATATATATATATATATATATATATATATATATATATATATATATATATATATATATATATATATATATATATATATATATATATATATATATATATATATATATATATATATATAAAACTTAATTCAAGAGTAGTGTTTAGTTTTACAAATTAAAATAACAATAACAATAATATTGTTAACAAATATTTATATCATATCTAAACTAAAAGATTATATCTGTTTTGGTGATAAATCTTTCGATCATCCTTCTTTAGATTGTCAGCTCAATTAATTGATTTTTTTTTTGTACTTTAATTTAAAAAGTTTGTTGTTCTTTTTTTGTGAATTTACTTCCTACAAAATAAATACTGCAATATGTTTTGGGAAAAATATGCTACCAAATCTGACCAAAATTAAATTCTTACTCAACCTGCCTTAAAGATATGAAGATCTAATTAAGGTGATCTCTCTAAAAGAAAACTACGACAATTAAAACATCTTTTTCGAACCGTTTATAACATAATACATTAAAACATTATATATATATATATATATATATATATATATATATATATATATATATATATATATATATATATATATATATATATATATATATATATATATATATATATATATATATATATATATATATATATATATATATATATATATATATATATATATATATACATATATATACATATATATATATATATATATATATATATATATATATATATATATATATATATATATATATATATGTATATTATATTATATATATATATATATATATATATATATATATATATATATATATATATATATATATATATATATATATATATATATATATATATATATATATATATATATATATATATATATATATATATACGGTTTGATCAGAGAGTGCCGCTGATGAGTATTTAATTAAAAGTTCACGCCTTCTTTCAAACCGATATCACAAAACTTGCCTAGAGTTGAGGTTTAATCCAAGGATCCTTTGTTTTTGATGCAAGTGCGCTACCACTGCGCCATGGTTGCTTATTATCACTGCAATTTTATAATTTAATAAGTGTAATTATGAAATTGCATTGTGATTATAAAATAACCATTTTCTAAAATAAATACACAAACCATAAAATCTCTATATTTAAAAATAACATAAAAATAAAAACTCCAACATTTATTTATATAAATATATTTATATAAATAAATTTATAATATTTATTTAAATCCTCAAGACAATTTTTTGTCTTTAAAAAAATATATTTATTGATATTTTTACATAAAAAACAGATCAAAAACGTATTGAAGTTAGCTAAAAAAATCTTATAACTTAGAGGTGGAGTTATAATATTTCTTATACATTGAATCTATGAATAAAAAATGTTTTAAAAAGTGTTTAAATTCAATTTTAAAAGAACTTATCAGTTTTTGTAGGTTTTATAGTATTCTAAACACCATGATATCATATAACTTTAAGAATATCAAATAACGATTTTCGAAACATTCAACAAGTAAAATGTACAAGTAATATGTAAAAAAAGAGTGTTCATGTAACTAAAGTAACTGATTATTAATTAATAATAGATTAATAATTTTTAAACAACACCTTTGGTTTATAGTATTAACTTAAATTGTATACTTTTTAATTTTTTAAATTTATATATATATATATATATATATATATATATATATATATATATATATATATATATATATATATATATATATATATATATATATATATAAATTTTTTATATTGAATAATAAGATAATTATAAAAACTTATAGTAGAAAACTTTTTTACTTGTATACTTTATGGTTTTTTTGTAGTTTTTGGTAAAAAGGTTCAATACAAATAATAAAATTTTTTTAATATCAATAACATGAGAAATTATAAACGAATATCAAATCGAAAAGTGAAAGTGCCATGTATCAAGCAATTCTCTTCCTGATAAATGATGATCAAGGATACAAAAAATCTTTGCGCTTCTTTATACTAATGTCGAATTAGGATGCTTTACAAAGCATCCTAATTCAACTTAACTATAAACATGTTTAGAGTTTGCTCTATGCCCGGAAGTTAGCTATCTCAAAGAAAAAAAAAAATGCTGGATCCGCTCCTGACATAGGTTTCTCCCAAGATTTTAAAAGCTAGTTAAATAAAGATTCTAGCACTTGGCTCATAAATATAAAAAGACTAATTGGGCAACAGTTTGAAAAGACTTTGACCCTTCACTTTGAGAACTTCACTTTAAGAACTGCAGAGTTTTTCAAGAATTGAAACTATTTTCTAGCGGATAGGAAAGCACTGATTTCAGATTTCTGATTTCAAAAAATGCAAAAATTTGCATCAAAGGACTAGATTGAGCTGTCAAGCGCAAATGAAATAAAGAAAAAATTAGGAAGAGAGAAAGGATTAAAAAAAAATTAAAATATATTTTTAACAGATGTTCAGAACAAAAACAAAGACACTAAAGTAAAGCGTGTAAAGTAGAAATGTAATAAAAACAAAACAGAACACATAAGTAACCATTAATCTACAGTAAATACAAAACAAGTTTAACATACTTAAAATAAAAATACATACGTCTAGGTATATCAGTATTCAGATTAAAAAAATATAAAATCAAAAGAGGTATAAGATAAAAAAAAAACTTTGCTTTTGTGTAATCATAGATTATGAAGTGATGGTAATAAACTTCTCCTCAGAATCGCGTTTATTGTTACTGGCGTATTAAAGAGGCTCAGCACTAATACCTAGTTTATCCCACAATTTCGTAGTGAATAAACTAATATTTAGTTTATTCACTACGAAACAGCCAAAACCCTAACATCACCTTTGTAACCCTAACATCACCTTTGTAACCCTAACATCACCTTTGTAACCCTAACATCACCTTTGTAACCCTAACATCACCTTTGTAAAGCACTTTTTTGAAGAATATGGATAATGAGAGTAGTGAATTCAATACCAAATAATATAACAAATTTAAAATAAAACAAAATATATGTAAGATAACAAGATAAATATATAAAATAAAATATGAATAAATTTTTTAAACAAAAATAACAGAAAACAATAAACTAACATGTAAACGATAATATAAAATAATAAAAATTTGTCTTATTGAAAACCACAAAATACTTAATTACACTACCAATGTGATAAACGCTGCTAGACAAAACCCTAGTAATAAACACAAAAAGTCGCCAAAAAACCCGACAAAACGCAGAAATATATACGAAACAAAACCATCCAATGTACAACGCCGCCACAGACACCCCGACCGAACGCCATCAACCAACCAAAAAACAGCTTTTAAATAAAATATAGCAATAACGACAAAAACAGTAAATGAAACCATTACAACGTCAAACGTAAAAAATTACTTTGGGCGTGAAAAAAATCATGTTTAAAAAATTTCGACAACCTAAAAAATAACATTTTTACCTATATATATACACACATATGCATATATACATACATATATATACATACATATATATATACATACATATACATACATACACACATCAATGATTGTCGAAGTAAGAATTGCATGTTACTGTACAAAAGAGTCAAGTATTACTTGAAACCAATGTAAAAACTCTATCACTGAACCGAGCTAACTGACCCAGCCGTACTACAAATTACCTGTAATAGATTAAACACCTACACATAGGATTTATATTATCTTCTGGTTATAAAAGCCAGCTCAGACATGTTCCAGACATAGAAATATTCTACCATGGAAACAGTAATAATGCATGTAACGATATATATTTTAGTTATATTACTAGAAACAAGCATAAAAAATCCTATCCCAGAACTACATCTAGCCAGCCCAGCCAGTGCCGGATCAAAGGAGGACGAGGGAGGGGGCTAGAGGGTTATAGCTTGGGCTCTGCAAATTTAGGGACCCCAAAAATTTTGGAGAACCTTTTTTATTTAGTCATTTTAAGGCTCTGGCCTATAAAAAGGCCTCCAAAAACAAAAATAGCCCCGGGCCCCACGAAATCTTTATCCGCCACTGAGCCCAGCCGTACTACAAATTATCTATGATAGATTTAACATCTATACATAGGATTTATATTAAATTCTGGTCCTAAAAGCTAGCTCAGAAATAGACACAGAAATATTTTCCCGCGGAAACAGCAATAATGTAATATCTAATTATATCCTTATGTGTATTTACATTAATAAAAAATTATTTTTTACTTTAAATATTATTGTTTATCATTATTAGATTTATGGTATATATTTTTTGAGCATGTTTGTCTCTATATCCCCATTTTTTCTAAAAATGATTTGTGTTTCCTAAATTTAGTAGGGGTATGAGTGATTGGCTTTTCTGCTGTGAGGTCCGTTTTATTGCAATAATGACTTATATGATGTTGGCAACAGGCGATGATAGAGATAGCAAGGATGCATCCCTGACGAGTAATGCTAGCCATTTTTATCAGGCTTTCCGAAACATCATTTTGAATATATTGTGGCCCAAAGGATGGAATTTCACCGTACGATTAATTGGGCAACAGTTTGAAGGGACTTTAACCCTTCACTTTGAGAACTTCACTTTAAGAACTTCAGAGTTTTTCAAGAATTGAAACTATTTTCCAGCGGATATGAAAGCACTGATTTCAAATTTCTGATTTCAGATTTAGTTAAGCGCTGGTTAAATAGTTTAGAAAGAGAGAACACATTTTTGAGATTACATTTTTAATACTGTAATTAGGATGTTGCCCGGAAAAGTAGTCGAAGAATAAAAGTGACAAAAAACTTTAGCATCAGAAGCAGGAGTGGTTTGAAAGAATGTTTAACAGTAGATTGAATTGTATTATTGAGGTGACAATGCAATATTAGAGTTTTTATTGAACTTTTAAAAGACTTGTATAAAGATTTTTCTTTAAATACATTTTTAGGATAAAACTATTGATACAAAACAAACCATGACCATGATAATTTTCCATGACCATGAT